TATAAACTTTAGTAACCCTTTTTTTTTCCAAAGAAAATAGTTGTAAAACCAAGTTTGTTGTAATTATAGCTTTTTTTTTTTAAGATTTGACATAGAATGGAAAATCTTTAAAATTGTATACATTCAGTTTGAACTTCAAGTTGATAAGACTGTAAGGACTACTTGGGGCATGTAAAAAAAATAATTTGTTGTATCGAAGTTTTTGTAACGCTAATAAACACTTATTTTTGTACTAACGCTTGTACTTTATAAATAATTTTTACGGCTACGGCTCAGGGTGTTCCATATAGCACACATTTTTTTTCGTGAGCAAAGATTTACAAATATTTATAATCAATCAATCTTTAAATTAATAGTTATTAAAATAACTATATATATCTAGATTTTAACAATACGACTAAATGGTACAGTAATAAATGGTAATTTAGCTGTATTACTAAAATATAGCCGGCTTTTGTTTACTTAGGAAACTCACTAGATAAAATGCAGATTCAAACAAAACCAAAAACAATGTAAAAAAAATTAACTGATTTTGAAGAAAAAGGTTTCTTTCGAAAGCTTTGTTTCATTTCAAGAAATAAAATACAATAACTCTTGATTATGTAATAAGGCAAAAACAAAAATATATGTAATAAATATATACATACATATATACATATATATATATATATATATATATATATATATATATATATATATATATATATATATATATATATATATATATATATATATATATATATATATATATATAATATATATATATATACATAATATATATACATAATATATATATATATATATATATATATATATATATATATATATATATATATATATATATATATATATATATATATATATATTCATTTATTTATTTATTATAATAGTTATTTACTTTTTATATATTTTAACGTTAATGTTTTTTAAACAATAAAATAGAAATCCTATTTGGTTACCATAAAAGCAAGGTCAAATTTGTTCATTTTTAGGAATGAAAACATAAAACGTGCTTGCCGCAGCACAGTGCCATTTTCAATTCTAAGGAAATCCAATTATAACTTATTGCTTTAGTATGTTAATTTAACTGGATAACGCCAGTTTTTTATTGATATACCAGGCCTTGCGATAAAGCCTCGGGCGATGTGAATTTTACGTTGTCCAAGAGCGATTTTGCGTGTAGCTAGGGCTATTTACGTTGAGCAAAAAATTTTTTGTTTGAGTATATTTAAAGATATTTTTGAGCGGAATTTTAATGAAGTAGTTTACGATTATTTTAACATTTAATAAAATATTTTAAAAACCGCATGCAGTTGATATAAAAGTTTGAATTACAAAAAAATTAAATATGATAATACAACTCAACTTTATACTCTTGTCTTGACAGAAAATCTTCACCTTTTTTATTGCTTAGAACAAGCAGCTGGTTTTTAATGCGATCTCTCTTCTGTAACAGCCTAAGGCTTGCAGTGGCTTAAGGGTTTAAACTCTGGACTAAAATTTCACAACTTTTGTTAGACAACAAAACTCATTTATTTACTGCAAAAAAATATTGCAATGTTGGCATTCCTATATTGATGAACAAAAAACCTCTTATTCTCTGTAAATAGACCTGCCTTGTCTGCCAAGCTTAAACCACACCTAATGTGAATTAAGTGCAACCACACTTCAAGTGCATAAGCTTAAACCACACATAAAGTACATTTCTTTCTTTTTTCTACAAACACTATCATGGTCAATGCTCAAACGAGCTATTATCTCTATTATGATATCAAAACTCATTCTTGCTTGGCTTCTTTTTCAACAAGTTGCATCCTTTTACTGTATCTGTCCCTTCATGCTATAACAACTTTTTATTAATCCAGTTTTTTTTCATGCAAATCAAAAAAACCTTATAGCTCTTACCCACCTTCATGTTTTCCTTTATTATACAACGTAAAACTTCTAAAGTCTTTAGTTATTCATTTCCTAGTATTTTAACTTATTCTCTATTTTTAAGAAACTCATAACTTTTTTATTGGTTGCAGTTTTGTTGGAAGTAAATTAGAGTTTAAAAATATGTAAATGTATCCCAGTACTTAATAAATTGTAAATGTAAACATAAAGTTTTAATATTTAAAATATTATTAATTTTTTTTAGCCCCGGCTATCAATCCTTGTTAAATCTTGTAATTTTGCAGGGGCCTGGGCCGGTTTGCAAAAAGTCTCATTTTTAGCTGGGCCAAGCTGGGGACCCGGTCACTTACTAGTTCTAAGCGATCAAAAAGAGAAGATTTTTCGGCAAGACAAGAGTGTGAAGTTAGGTCATCAGCAAAAAGGACTACTTTAAATGTTAAAAGTATTTAAAGGTTTTCAGGAAGATCATTAATGTAGATAAGAAAAAAAACAAAAACAAGGATAGATCCTTGAAGCACCCCAGATTTTACTGGAAATGAAGAATGTTAGCCTTTGAAGATGGCTTTAATATAACAGTTAGAAAGAAACAACTAAATAATTTTTGATAAGCTTTGTCGAAAGCTTAAGATAAATCAAAAGAAGTAGCCTTTCAAACTACAGCAATAAAATAAATTACTGCAAAACAAGTTTAATTTACTAATTTAGAAAAACAAATGTAGAAGTGCTATTTTTTTAATGTACATATTGTGAAATGTCTGTTTTGTTTAAATTTTTTTTATTTTTTTATTATTAAATAGATAAATTTCAGTGGTTTACACTGGACTTTTAGATGTTTGAGTTTTGACACTTACACACATTTTGCAAACTCCAAACTTTTGTATGTTCATGCTTATGTCAAATAAGAATGTTTTGCAAAAAATTATGGTGATTGGAGCTTGGGGACAAAAAAAAACCAATTTTCGAGCCCACCCAGCCCTTAACGTGGGAGCAACAAGTTGATAAAATAATGTTTTTTAGTATTTTTATCTAAGTTTATAATCATCAACAAATTTCAAATTTCATACAATAATTTTTTATTTTTCGAAAATTATGACCATATATATATGGTCATAATTTTATATATGACCATATATATATATATATATATATATATATATATATATATATATATATATATATATATATATATATATATATATATATGTATATCAATAAAAAACTGGCGTTATCCAGTTAAATCAACATACTAAAGCAATAAGTTATAATTGGATTTCTTTAAAATCAAAAATGACACTGTGCTGCGGCAAGCACGTTTTATGTTTTCATTCCTAAAATAAACAAATTTTACCTCACTTTTATGGTAACCAAATAGGATTTCTATTTTATTGTTTAAAAAACATTAACGTTAAAATATATAAAAAGTAAATAACTATTATAATAAACAAATAAATGAATATATATAATATATATATGAATATATATATATATTATATATGAATAATTGAATAAATATATGAAAAAATATGAATTAATGAATATATATATATATATATATATATATATATATATATATATATATATATATATATATATATATATATATATATATATATATATATATATATATGTATTTATATATTTATTACATATATTTTTGTTTTTGCCTTATTACATAATCAAGAGTTATTGTATTTTATGTCTTGAAATGAAACAAAGCTTTCGAAAGAAACCTTTTTCTTCAAAATCAGTTAATTTTTTTTACATTGTTTTTGGTAAACAATATAAAAAATTATTGGTTTTTGGTCCAATAATTTTTTATTTTTTGAAAATTATGACTATATAAAGTTTTAACCCCCCTCAATTTGAGGGGGCTGTAAAACTTGTAGGGTCATAAAAACTAAAAAAAAAACCAAAAACTAAAAGTTTGCAAAATGTGTGTAAGTGTCAAAACTCAAACATCTAAAAATCCAGTGTACACCACTGAATTTATTATTACATTATTATTACAAACTAAAAATTATAAAAAAATTATTAGTCAAAGCTAAATTATAAGGAAATTCCTATTTCCACTTTTTTGATATTGCACAATCTGTTAATTATATAAGGCTGATGTAACTATTTAAAATACTATTTTTCTTGTAAAACTAAACAAAGACATTACAAGAGTTGTATTGTTTCAAGCGTAAATACTTGTAATAATTTATTCAATAAAAAACATTTTCTATAGATATAACTCTGTTAATAAATTTTCAACTATAGAATATATAGAGGAAGTTTAGATAATAACCATCATGAAATATATTTATATTTGATAACATTATCAAATATATTTGTTCCTGATAGGAAGGGTATCTAAACTCCCCCAAAATATTATTTTGAAAAGTTATACCAATAGAAGAAGTTCTTTATATAATTATAAAAAAACAAACTCTTTATAAGATTTTATTTAATCTTTTGTAATAATTAATATTTTTTTATTTGTTTTTTTTTTTAAATCAATTTTTATTACAAAAAAATTACAAAAAGAAAAATTCAAAATATCAAAAGTGGCGCTAATATAAAATAAAATTTAATGTGTGCTATTTTTTAATTAATGTTAATTTGTTTTGCTTTTTATTTATTTTTTCAAGTTCAATAAATATTTTTGCTATTGTTTGTTATGAGCCTAAATATTCTTGAGAGATGAAAAAGAAATTTCATTTATTAAATCATTTTTAGAATTTCTTTTTTTACATGTTTTTTCTTTTTTCTTTTGCTGAACATTTTTGATGGAAAAGTTAGGTTAATAAAAATTAAAGTTAATTTGTTTTTTCTAAACTTATTAAATTTGTAAATAGCGCTAGATATATATATATATATATATATATATATATATATATATATATATATATATAAGTTGTATATTGTTATATATAATACAAATACTAAAACAAATTTAACAAATTTTATATGATATTTATACTTAATTTATATAATATATAACATTTTATATTATAACATATAATATTTTATATTATAATAGAATCAATTAAAGTATTACTTGCTAAAAATAAAACTTGATTGAATAAATGTGTAATAGAGGTCTAACTCATAGAATATTTTACCTCTCCTTGGTCCTCACAACGAAGAATTACCCATGCATTTCTTGATATTCCATTGCAATGACCATTTGAATGATATGGATCACCATGATGGTACATCAACAGCAAAATATCCTCTGAAAAAAATACAAAATTTGAAAAAAAAAATTGTATATATAGGACAGGGGTTAGAAGTATATATAGGATAAGAGTAGGATATTATATATATATATATATATATATATATATATATATATATATATATATATATATATATATATATATATATATATATATATATATATATACATATATATATATATATATATATACATATATATATATATATATATACATATATATATATATATATATATATATATATATATATATATATATATATATATATATATATATATATATATATATATATATATTGAGGGTATATATATATATATATATATATATATATATATATATATATATATATATATATATATATATATATATATATATATATATATATATATATATATATATATATATATATATATATATATATATATATATATATATATATATATATACCCTCAAAATTAGGAAAAATGAGGTCAGCAATAATTTGCCGACCTCAATCTTTTAGAGGTCAGCATTAAGTTGGCAAAAAAAAGTGATACTAAGATCTTACCATAAGACATAGAAATAAGGTTGGCAACTTTTTGCCTTCCTAAAACACTTTATGGTCAGCATTGCCAAATGCCGACCCTAATTTCGAGGGCTGTATATATATACAGCGTGTAAAATAAGAAATCGAAGACGAGCAGTCAGTTTGCCCTTGGAATGACCAGCTAACCCTTGGAATTGACGGTCAACTGTTTTTTTTTGGAGGGTCAACATTTTTATTAATTTCATTTTAATCTTTGTAATAGTTCTTCATGACTGAACTTTATAAATACAAAAATAACTTAATATTTGATAATTAACGAATTAGTATTCCTTTTTTAAATTTGCAAATAACTAACATTAAAATTACACGCCAATGTTAATAATTTAAAATTAAACGTGCAGATTTCACTTTATTTCTTAAAGGAAGTTTAATAAATTGGATAACATCCAATTCATTTAATTAGTAACATCGCTTACAATTGTCACTATTAAACTAATTATGTCTGTCACTAATTAACAGATTAAATTATATATATAACATGTAAAGACATTAAAACATATAAAGACAAAAAAAATTAAAAAAATAATAATTTAAGCTTATAAAACGATTGTTTTTTTTCTTCTTAATGATAGTAACTACGCTTAAGCTTAGTTACTATCATTTTAATTTTATTTTCGATTTAAATATTATCAGTTCTGTTTATTTAACTTTTACTAAAAGTTAAATGAACAGTTGACTAATAATATTCACTTTGCTTTAAGACGCAAAGTGAATATATAATACTTTTTTTTAACAATTGAATCAAAAAAATATTGTTTAGATTAAATAATTTACATTTACTAAGGATTTAAAAAAAAATTTAAGACATTACAGTTTATAAATAACTAACTCATTTTATAAAGGTTTTCTACTTTATTTTCATTAATTAATTAAGAACTTTAATATTTAAAGTTAACGAAGTTAAAGATTATTGCACATTTTGCTCTTTAAAATCATTATAAAAACTGCTAATGTTAATTTAAATAGAGTTAATAAAATTAGTGAATATTAATTTTATTAATTTGCGCGAAGATTTGTATTCAAAATTAACATTGAAATTAATTCCTTGATCTATAAAGTTCCTTTTTGATCCCAACACTCTACTGCATCATTAAAAATTTGAAGCTCCTCATTCATTCAGTTTGCGGCAAAAACTTATGAGTAAACAAATAAAAAGTTAAGACAAATTTTTTTAAGATTAATGCAATTATTGTATATTATTATATTATTATTAAAATGATATATTACATACAATTATTATTATATACTTTATTACATTAATAATAAAATAAGATCTTCAATCATTTATGAAAAAATGATTTTCACCACCAATAAAATGAAAGTAATTTAAATAAGTGAAGAAAAGAATTATTAGATGTCATGTCTTATGTTTTATTCGTTAGCGAAAGGAATTTTTTTTTAAACTTATTGTAAACAATAAGCCTAATTTGAGCACTTTTTCAAAACTTTAATGATTATATGATAATTTAGTACATGATTTTTCCAAATAATAATCTGATTATTTTTCAAATCTTGTTTTTTAAAATTCTGATTATTTTTTAACCGGTCAAACATGACCGACAAGAATTCATTTTTGGAGGTCAAAATAGCAATTTTACTCATTTTGGGCGGTCATTGACAGGCCTTTATTTTAAACGCTGTATGTATATACATACATACATACATACATACATACATACATACATACATATATATATATATATATATATATATATATATATATATATATATATATATATATATATATATATATATATATATATATATATACTCAGAATTAGGGTCAGCATTTGGCAATGCCAACCTTAAAACATTTTAATTAAAATATGCAAAGCACTTTTACAAATTACTTCTAATGACTGATTTTAATTTATCAAAAAGTAAAGTTAATTTATTGAAAAGAAAAGAAAATAATATTTTTAAATTGTATAAACATTTTTTTAAAAAGTTGCAAATAATTTAGTTTTTTTAAAATAGTAATTTTTAATCACTTCATGCTCTGATTAGTAAGTCATGTTTTAAAAAAAAACTTCTAAACAATTTTTTGTAAAAATAGAAACACAAAAAAATTAAAGCAATTATATTATTTCATTGCAATGGTAAGATTTAGTTTAACTTAATCACAATTTAAAGCATAGTCATAAGAAATAGATAGTCTGGAAGCAAACAATGAACGATTGTTTTAACTTATTGTATGCAATTTTTTTGAGGATAGAAAATCCTGTTGTTTATCTAATAAACTAACTATTTTTCTTGAAAAAACTCAAGATATATTGCAAATGCTGGGTGAAAACTGTTCAATTTATGGATCTTCTGCCTCAAGAAGATATTTAGGAGTTGCTTTCTTTGAAGTTCCAAAAGGAACAGACAATTTAACAAAAAAATGGGCTTAAGCATTAATTAACATAATTAACATAATAGGCTTCAGAATTAATTATAACAAAAGATGTTGTTGATGATATTCTTCAAAAGAAAATAAACAATTTTGAACATAAAAAATTGTGGATATGCGAGCTTCACTTTTCCTCTGAGCAAATTAGGTGTTATAAAACAAAAAAAAAAATTAAAAGATGGAGAACTACCATTATTAAATTTACCAAAAAAGAGCTTAGAATTGTCAGCTTCATGTTCTGTTATTTGATCCTCATCGTCAATATCTAAGCAAGAAAATTCTCAATTACTTCTTGAAAGTTAACACAGCACTATTGTTATAGAATCTTTGCTGACTTTAAAAAACGTCTTCTGCATTTGTCTTCATTAAATAAGTTATGGAAGATTGAATTTTTCATAATTTTTGTTATAATTCATTCAAGTAATTAGAAGAAATGATTCCAAAATTTGAAATTTTTGTAGAAGATTCTTTATATTTTACTATTCGTGTGTATGGATGGATATTACCTGAAACACATAATTTATATTTGAAATATAAAAGATCATTTCTAAATGTGATTTTTTTACAGTTTATTTTTGAAATAGAATCTTTAGAATTTTGCAATGGAATAAAAGTTCCTGATCCTATTGAAGTGTTAAGTTTTAAGAAGCATGTTGTTTCTAAAACTTTTGATTATTTTGTTTATAAAAATTCTTTATCAAAGTCTAAAATTGAATTTTATCGCAGCAACTCTTGTGAATTATTAGTCTTTGGAAAAAATCAACCTTGCAGGTTTTGTCATGAACTTAATGTTAAAGTAAATTCTAGTATACACTCTAAAAGATCTACTCTTAAGACTCCTGCTAAATTAAATTCTCCAATCTCTGTAACTTCTCCTAGTAGACTTAAACTGACTTTGCAGCAATGCAGACTTCAATGCAAGCAATACAAAGAGAAAATTGAACTAATGAAATCTTCTTTAAATATATGTAGTAAGAAAATTTGTTCAGAACTTAGTAAAGACTTAATCTCGATTTATTCAGCTAGTGATCAAAAAAACATCCCACCGTTTATGAAGTTGTTTTGGGAAGAGCAGCAGAAGTATTTGAGTTGTTCCAATCTTTCATCTATCAGATACCACCCTGCAATAATAAAATATTGTCTAAACCTAGCTGCTAAATCACCATCTTGTAAAGTTTATTTACTTATCTTAAAGGGACTACCAAGTCCCGAGACATGTTGTGTTCATATTAAAGAGAATATTAAAAAAAAAACGTCTGAGCAATTTTTTTTTGATTAAAACTAATTAATAAATGTATACCAAGAAAAACAAATCTTGTTGTTTTAGTCGAAGCTCGTCTTCTCCGTTTTCTCTGGTATTTTGAGTATGTAAAATAAACGCGATTTTCCAGGCGCATTATACAGACTTGATAATTTATTCAAGCGCGTTTAATTCATAGGAGTTTTAGTGCATGACGTCATAGATTTTTTGTTTTGTTTAAAACACCGATTGTTATTTTTTACATACAATTTCCAAATCATATTCACGCTTATTATATTTTAAAGTTCTAAAATGTGTTTGTAAAACAAAATTAAAAACAAAATAAAATTAAAAACAAAATAAAATTAAAAACAAAATAAAATTAAAAATAAAAATAAAAAACAAAATATTATTTTATTTGCGCAACTTTTTTTAAATATTATTTATTTAAATATCTTTTTTAAAATATTAAATGTCATTTGTAACTGGATTAACTACTTTTTATCTAATCGACACCAAAGAGTGATACAAGGCAATGAAGCATCAAACTGGGAACTGATAATAAGTGGTGTTCCCCAAGGATCAGTAATTTCTCCAATCTTGTTTCTCTTATATATCAACAATTTACCAGAGATTCTAGAACACTCTAAGCTCTTTGCAGATGACACCAAGTTAATCAGGAAAGTAGCTAGCTCTGAGAGTTGTAAATTGCTTCAGAATGAAATTAATCAAGCCAGTGAATGGTCAGAGATCTGGCAATTACAATTCAATAGTGAAAAATGTCGTATTATGCACTTTGGAAAAAAAAAACTTTGCTATATTTATAAACTAGGAGACAAAATATTAGCAGTCTCTGATACCAAAAAAGATCATGGAATTACAATGTCATCAAATCTCAAATGGAAAAGTCACATAACCATTGTACATCAAAAGCTTATTCAACGCTTGGAATGTTGAGAAAAAATTTCATTACATCAAAAAAATGTTAAAGATGCTATATGTAACATTTATAAGACCCAATCTTGAATTTACAAAACAGGCATGGTACCCCTACATTAAAAGTGATATTATTACACTTGAAAAAGTTCAACGTTACGCCACTAAATGGATACTCCAGATTCGAAAACAAACTTATGAAACAAGAATTAAAATACTTAGCTTAAGCACACTGGAAAAAAGACCTAAAAGAGGTGACTTAATTAAAATGTACAAACTACTTAAAAAAATAAATATTGTAGAACTAGATTGTAATATTTTTGCCTCATATCAGCCCATCAGAATGGGCCATAACTTCAAAACTAGAAGAGAAATAGTTAAAAACTGCAATATCCGTCATCAATTTTTAACTAATAGAGGCTCATAAAATGTGGAACAAACCACCAGATTTTATCATCAAAAGTAAAAGCTTGAACCAGGCTTTCACGGGAAGACGTGCGATTTCATGTCTTTATATGACCACACACAAAAAAAAATGTTTTAACAATTTGACCACGGCATATTTTTAAAATTTAAAAACGTGCTACAAAAACTTACCTAAACTTATCTGAAAAAAAATTTAAAAAAATAATAAATATTAACAAAAGAGAAAATAAAAAAAAATACTTAGTTAAAGCAAAAACACAAAAAAATAAATATATATATAACGCAACTAAAACAAAACTCATCAAACTAAAATGCTTAGTCTATTTAATTTTTGCATTAAAAAACCTTTTCAATCTTTGTTTCAATATTTTTATATATTTTTTATTTGTTTAATATGTTCAAAAGTTAAATATTTCTCATAAAAAATTCATAGTTGTATAAATAAAATAAAAAAACATTTTATAAATACTTTTTTTTAAATTAATTAGAAGTGCTTTTTTTTTTACTTCATTAAAAGCGTTTCGATAATATAAAAGCATTTAAGATCAAACTTATTAAATTGTAACGGTTTTAAAAAAAAAAAAATTTTAACAAAATTTTGTTTATCTTTTTAAATGCATTAACTTTAACTATTCTTATATTTAAATTCGTTAAAGAGACTTTTCTCGTCGTAGAATGTCATCGTTAATAAAAACAAAACAATTTTTTATTTTTTAATAAGATTTATTTTAGAAATGAACACTAAAACAATTTATATGTTTTAAATTAAAAAAATATATACAACCATCAATTATATTTAAAAAACAAAACTTTTTTTCAGTAAATTGTTACTTTATTTAAAATCGTTTCGCTAATATAAAAACATTTGTTAAGAAGTTTTGATGTAGTTAATTTCACTTTTTTAGAATATTTTTTATTTAGAGCGATTCTAAAATGTTTTTTGAATTAGCTGCCGTCAAACCGTCATAGCAAAATGTAACTTGCATGGTCATATAAAGACGTGAAATCGCACATCTTCTTGTGAAAGCCTGTTGAACTTATTCAAAAATTGCATTGATAAATATCTAGAGCTACATGGTTTGTAATTTATAATTTAATTCATTTACCTAGAATATTTACACAACGTGTATGCTGTCAAAAAAAATTAATTAACATTAATTTCACTCGTAGTTTTCAAACTACTTCAGCCTTCCATTATATTATATTATTTAAAAAGTTTATTTATTACATTTTTTTTGGTTTTTAGATTGATCATAGAAAGAATGTTGTTTAGAAAAATAAATTTAGTTTATGTGCTGTAGGTAAATTTTTGTTAAACAGCAAATTGTTTAAAAAAATGAGTTGACATTTTACACCCATTTACTATATTTTACATCTAGTTGTTCTAACCTCCACATTGAATAAGAATTCACTTCTCTTACATAGTCATTTTACATTTTTTTAATTAAAAAAAATACTCTTTAAAATTGTAGCATAGTATGAATTTGAAAATTTATGTAAATAAATGTTGAACTTTACACAACTACAATAATTTTGAAAAAAAAAGAAAAAATGAATTTTTTTTTTTTTAAATAAACTTGTCAAACTTGAAAAAAAAAGTAATTAAAATAAATAAATTATGAACTTATAACAAAAATTACATAATTTTTATATATTTTTATTTTAGCATGCAATACTTTAAAAAATTTAGGTCGGCAGTTGTTTGTTGTCGTAAAGCAAAGATAGGTCATCTTTTGCATCACCATTGTTGAATGCGGACCTGAATTTTGCAGGCTGTATTATTATATGTTTGAAAAATGCTATATTTAGCCAGTTACTAGGAAACAAGCAACTTTACCAGCATTTATGTATTATATATATGACATAGTTTTACCTCCTCCAACCAAGATAGAAGAATTATCAATCTTTCCTATTGATTTTTTATTTTTACTAGCGTCTTCTTGTAAAACTGCATTAGTACCTTCATCACCGCAAAAAGTTAAGGTGTAATCATATATATCATCTTTCTCTGAACTTTTTGAGCGCGAATGTACATGAGTGACAGTCAATCTAAATTGAAATAACTTTAAAAAAATCATGTGAAAATGTATAAGTGATAGGCAGTATTAATTATTTGTTCGCCCTATAGATTAGTCGGGATAATTGATTAAATCCAGTCCACTTATTAAATTTGTAATAGGATGTGTTACACAATTTTTTTTTTTTTTTTATTAATTTTTTTTTAAAAAACACAATATAAGGACAACATCCCACAAATATTTCAAACAAAAAAAGAAAAAAAAAAAAAAATTTATATTGGGAAATATGTTTGAAAATGACATATTTATTGTTAATTTTTGGTAATTATCTTTTTACCCTAACTACAGATACAGCACCCATGTATATTTTTTATATACTTTTTTACACACACACACACACACACACTTTAAATTCTATGTGATATAAAAGCTATAAAAAAATTGTTAATTTATCAAACTAATAACTAATAACTGCTATAAGTTTACAGTCAGCAAATTATAAAGTTGCTATTTAATCATTAAATAGTCGATATCATCAAGAACAACAACAAAAAAACAGTAGATCAAAGATTAAGGATGCTTTTAGGTCCTGAAAATGTATCAGAACATCAATGCATTTTTAAAATTAAGAAAAGGTTACCAGGGTTATGCTTGTGTCAGAGTTAACAATGTTAAGTGAGCTTCTTAGATTCTGTTTTTGAGTCAAATCATTATATTTCAACCAATTTGAAGAAAACCTTGTAGGTTACCATCTCTGATTTTCCTGATTTTTACAAATTGTTATGTGTCAATTTACAAATGGTCAAAACAGACTACTTTAGAGCTGAATAACTTTTTTTGCTCACTTTCAACAAGTGTCTCATTTTTGCTCACTTTCAACAAGTGTCTCATTTTTGTTAGAACTATTTCTTGGATAGTTTTCTCTTTAAAAAAGTGGTTTTTATTAATTTGTGTTAAATTAGGAAAAAAACTATGACCTCCTCAACTTCTATTCTATTTATCCTTAAGTCTTTACAGATAAGATTTATGATTAGCTACTACTGTGTTCAATATATATATTAGGAAAAATATAGTCAGCTTGTTGCAGTTTAGAACTCAGATATATCCAGAAGCAAAATGTCCCCTTGCTTAAAAAATCTAATATTCAGCCATTTTGAGATGCTTGTAAATTGTTCTAACACTTTGTTTTGATCTAAGGTTAACAGCATATAAGACTATTAAACCCGACTATCTAAATATCCAAACATTATAAACTTGTCAAATCCACACCAAAAATGCCAGCATTTTTAAATGCTGGCATTTTTGGTGTGGATTTGACAAGTTTATAATGTTTGGATATTTAGATAGTCCTAATAAATAACAATAAACCGTTGATAATTGAAACCCTATTTTTCAATTATCAACGGTTGAATGTGTTACTAAAAACTAGTGCCCCTCTAATCTGCCAACTGACTTATGTGAATGGTACAACTAATTATAAGCCATTTCTTAATTTTAACTTTTTAGAGACCTATATTATGATTCAAAGGAAGGTCTCTAAATTAATTTAGATATTTAGATATTTTACTTAATATTTAAATATCTAAATTAATTAAAAACCATTATTTCTTCAAATTCTATTTTATTATAGGTAATCAGTTATAATAAAATAGGTAATATGTGATCTGGATTCCCTCCCCCACTCACTAAGGGGAGCGGGAGAGAGATGATTTGATCAATGATTTTATCAACATGACATTTTATTATTGTTAATGTGCTTAAAGATTTTGTTCTTAACACGTACTTTGACTATTATGCAAGTAACAGTGTTAAGTCAAATAGATCGATAGTTTTCAGCAAGTAATTTATCTTCCTTGCTTGGTTTTTAATATGTGGAGTAACCCAAGGAGCAGTGGTAGCGCACTTGCCTCAGAAACGTAAGGTTCGTGGTTCAAACCCCACCTCTGAGCAAGTTTTGCGACATCGGTTGGAAAGGAGGCGTGAACTTCCTATTAAATTCTCTTCCGCGGTGCTCTGTGATAAGACCGTAAAGACTTCTTAAGGCACCTAAATCAACTTAAAAAAAAACAAAAAACATTGGGGTTAAAATATTCGCAATCAGTACAATTGTTAGAAATTAATAAATTAAACATTTGATCACAGTTTTATGCAGAAATAAAATTAAAATATTCCAGTTGATTGATGCAAATAAAGTTTGACATTGAATATTAATCACCTTAGCTATAACTAAATAACTAAGATTCCCTTTTGGATAATGGTTTTGAAGCTAAAATACCTCAAGTGATACTAAAGCTGCCCTTAGTATTATTACCTAATATAGCATTAGGAAACAATTTTAAAAATAGAATTACTTCTATGTAAATGATCCAACATATGGTTTGTCCAACATATGGTTTGAGCAATCATAGATCGTCTGGATGTAGAAAATGTGATATGTTAAAATTACCAATAATGAATCAGTCATCAGGGTTTCCTAATTAAGTTATGAACTTTGAAGTTCATTTAAAGGATTCAGCGATACATTTTATTAAATTTTATTTAGTCAATGTATAACCTAGATAAATGTGTTTATTGTTATTTTTTACATATGCCAAAACTTGTTTAAGAAATGTTTTATAAAACTAATTAACTTCATGAGAGATAAATACATCAGTAATGAAGATAGCTACACTGCAACCTTGACGTTTGTCTTAGCAATCTTTTTTTTAAAGTGAGTTATTGTTTTAGTACAATAGCTTCATTATTGTATTTTGCTTTAAAACCTTACGACATTATACCCATCTTAACTTAACTGCAGGCCCTTCGCTACGCTACTGGTTAATTGTACTAATTGTATTGTACATAGGTTAAGACATATCTGTTTAAAAAAGTATATAAAAATTACTTTTATTTTACAAAATATAAACTAATAAATAGTCAATTATTTTATTTGCAATTACAATAAAAAAATACAAAGAGCTACAACAAACCATTAGAAATCAAGAAAGTTTCCAATATGAGACAGAAGAATCCTTTAGTAATGAATAATTAATAACAAGCACTAATATTAAACTCAATCTAATGTGTCAACAGGAAAAAGTTCATGCAAACTCAAAGCTCAAAAATTTAACTTTGAAAATACTAAAGTTCTATTAACAATTTATCAAAATATTATTAAAAAATTCTACCACATTAAAAAAGAAGTATTATTCAGTATTTCAAGATATTGGAGGTTTCTTTTCCGCTTCATGCCTGAAAAAGTTTAAAAATATATGAAACATGCTGAAATAATTGCTCAGAAAATACTTAATTTTTGAACAAGAATAGCACAAATAAAAGCCTTAAAGAGTTGACTACTAATGTTAATACAGCATGGTCAGGCTTAACAATGCATTGGCTGGAAATAAAATCAGGAAAAAAATTGGTTCAACTGGCTGGTTTGAGCACTCCATACAAACAAAACTTCCTTGAAGGCACTTGATAAAAACTCTGGATGGAGAGACTCTTAGCAGCAATAAATGGAGATGTTGTATTGGAAAACTATAAAAAGCAACTGCTTTGAAAATTAGTATTTTTAAAAATACTGATGTTGGAGATCCGTTCATAACTCTAAAGGATGTAGTCTAAAGGATGTAGAAAGATTAATCTTCTGGTTGGTTTTATCGGTACAAAATAGTTTTTGTCATTAGAAGTGGAAATATACCAAGAGATTTGACTTTACTTGAAACTGGGCTAATTAATTATTCTAAATGGTTGACAATAGACATTGCAGAGTTAGGATTTTAAAACATTAGTTGGACAGCAAGAACTTTAAAAACCTTAAATTAATAATTGAGTTCATTGTGATAATTGAGATGGTTATGTGGTTTAGAAATATAGTCAAACATTTTTATTGAAGGATTGAGACACACTATTTACCAGCTTAGCCGACTGAAATATCAATAAAAAAAAGAAGTAGAAATTATGCCAAACATTTTTGCTAAGAGAACATAGAGTAAGAATAGTTAATTGTGAAAACAGGAAGCCCTGGTAACAAAAAACATTGAACTGATAATATAAATAAAAGAGCCATAACAAAGTTCTGGAAATCAAAAAAAAAAAAAGAAACTGACTCTGAAAATCAAACTAAACTTTTAATTTAGTTAAATTATATATAAGTACAAGTTTTTTTTTAAAGAAATAAATAGTATGACACACCCTAATATGACAAATAGTATGACACACTTAAGTGTCATACTATTTGTCATACAACCTAACAGAAAGTATTTTATAAATAAGTTTACACAACACTATAGCATGATTATCAACAGGTCAATTATCATAGCACTATAATAACTCATAACCATAATACCATCTCAGACTCTATTGATTTTTGGTATAAACGCTTACATTCAAAAACTTTACTTTTAACTTTTAACAACAAAATCAAAGTTGATTGAAAAAGTACATAAATGTATATAAATACTTACTAATGAGCACAAAATATATTAAACATATTATAGACAAAATTTGTAAAAAACATTTTGTTTAATAATTCAAAATGGATGACTATAAAATAGTCATCCTCAGTGTAAGTATAAATAAAATTGATACAAAATAATATAATAAAGACTATAAAAATAATACAATAAAAAAGCAATTAAAAATGTAACAATTATCATAAAATTACAATAAAAGACAATTAAAAAAAAAAAAACTGTGAATGTTTTAAGGAACTAGATTGAAAACATTTTTACATAGTTCACTTATTAATACTGGGGTTTTTCTAATCTATATACATACTCTTTTTGAGTATATTAAGTGGATAAATCCCAGTATTAATTACTTTACATAAACCATATAATTTAATGTCTTTAGTTACTGTTTGATTCGCTTATTGTTAGTTTTTTTATTCTGTATTCTTTAAAATTTACTTCTTATAGTGTGGCATTTTAAATAGTTTTTCATGAGGACAAACTTCAAATGCTATTGTATATCCATTCTTTTGTTATCTAAAGTTATCTTTGTAATTGTTTTTTTTTTTTTTTTGTTTGTTTGTTTGTACCTTAACCA